GCTATTGGGAGCCGAGCTCGGGTCCATCCTCCCCTTTTATACGGACCGAGGTGAGGCCCACGTCACGTGGGCGTAGACTATTGATACTTCAGAATGCGCGTACGCGCACGGGGGTACCCATCTGCGATAGCCTTAGAGGGCGGAGCTTACACGAAATAGAACATCTCCTGTCGGGCCACAATGCATTATGGGATATGCTGGGCAGGGAAGGAAACATCGGACCAGTCCTTCGATCCGGGCCAAAGGAAGTACGCATTTATCGGCCGCATCGGAGGAGTCTTTGGTTCTGGACGGCCTCCGTCGCTGTGCTGTGACGTAAGCGGCCGACGAATTCAGCCTTCGGAGGACCCGAGCCACCGTTTTGGACACAGCCAGTGTCTTCTTCAGAGGTTTTCATGTCGTTTCCTTCACTGGTTCTTGGTGTAGCGCCATCACAGGTGAGGAGGTGAACAGGTTGCTCAAAGGCTTTGGTTCGTGTGACTCGGTGCAGCATGAAAGTGAACCGTACAAGCTGAAAATGTCTCTCGTTGAAATTTTGGTCCCTAATCAAATCAGGTCTACTGAGCTGTCAGCTGTGAAAACACCCTTAGTGTCTTGTGCTCAGTAGATGAACGTTCAGATTTTGTTCCTTCTTCAAAAATGGGTTTTCTGATTGTGAACTGTGTCGGCGTTGATTGTTGGACACACAGTATGCACGTCATCAATTGCTGCTCATAGGTGTGTACACAGTTTTACCACCTGAGGGGATCAGATCATCTCTGGTGATGAAATCTTGTTTTGACTGTGTGGATCTTTGGGAGGTGGTATTTTCACTTAAATTTGGTATAGACTGTGAATCATTCAGAGCATGATCTCGAGTTTTATTAATTTTTATTAGATTTTTTTTTTCAAAGGAAACTGGACTTCTTTTTTCATATCTTTTCTTTCCTACCAAGCTTTCTTAATTCAGATTTTTAGTTCAGTTTCTGAATTAGAGAGCTGCTTGGATGAAAAGTGTAATGTCGATTTATTTACAAATTATACTAAACTAGAACGTCAAAATGATTGGAAAGACTGTTGAGGCTATGAACCTGTTGAAGAGGTTGGTCACTTTATTTAAATAAAGTGCATATGCAGATCGTCAGAGATAATTAAGGCTCTTTTGTTGATTGATTGTATAAAACAACAAGAATGTAACTGAATGTAATTTTAAATAAATTGAAGAACAATCAAGCTTGATTAAATCAATTTATACATATTTCTTCCATGTAATTGGATTAAGTTTTATGTTTTAGTCAGTTGAATTGACATAATTAAATAATTTCTCCAATCAGGATTTCAGGGACTAATACCAAAAGAGAAAATACAGATTGATGCTGTTTTGTTTTCTTAAACTAAGTTTTTCTTGATTGGCCTTTTAGTGACCTCTGATAATTTTTGTAAAAAAACAGAACAGGCAGTTGAGGTCAGTGACTAACTGATTGGAGTAACTTCATTTCACACTGAATCATGTTATGTGAAACATATCCTGATTGCAACATTTAATTTTCTAAGTGATTCACCACGTTCTCATGAGTGACTGTCCCCTTCCTTACACAGAAGTGAAGGGAGTCCTGAGATAAATCATGCTGTTTGTGTTTGATGCAGGACATGTTGATGCAACTGGCAAAGGCCGTGGCTAACGCTGCCGCTGCTCTGGTGCTCAAAGCTAAGAATGTTGCCCAGAAGGCCGAGGACTCCACCCAGCAGAACCGGGTTATCGCTGCAGCTACGCAGTGCGCTCTGTCCACGTCTCAGCTGGTAGCCTGCACCAGGGTGAGTCCTCCTCCTGAAATAAAAAGGTCATAAGCTATTTATGTGCAAATGATCAGATTTTAGATGTTCCTGTTGAATAGACACCAGTCGACCACAATTTCATGATTACTGATGGGTAAAGTAAATAATCAGCTGAGAAGTTCCCATTTTAGTGTGTTGAAACGTGAGGTAGTCACAGAGCTGAGTTGGGGAGTAAGTGTAACATTGGGGTCGGCTCATGCAACTCTTTCTTCCAACCAACATCCCTGCTGTCAGTCCACTGGTTTCACAATGCTGGTTTTATGTGTATAAGTACACATCGAAACTGAGCTGAACTACCTTTATTATTTATTCATTTACATTTATTTAACCAGGCAAATCCCAAGGAGATGAGGCCTGGCTCTGAAGGCAACCTATTGTACGTTTTTGATCATTGTGTGAGATAAATGATGCATGAAATGCCTAAAAAAAGTGTCAGCTTCCCTGTTTTGATAATAAAACAAACCAGCTGTGTAAAAAGAATTGGCACCTGGCAGAAATTAGCATGTTTCAAATGGCGTAAATCGTTCTTGTTTCAGAGTTGACATAATGAAAGCAGAAAAAACAGGCAAGCATCAGAACATGAGCTACTGTGACCAAGAACAAGCTATTGTAGGTCAGAGCATCTCAACAACTGTAGCTCTTGTTAGATGTTCCGAGTCTGCTGGGATCAGGATCTTTAAACAGGGTTCCCACGGGTCCTTGAAATCCTTGAAAGTTTGTGAATTTGAAAAATGATTTGTAGGCTCTGGAAAGTTTGTGAAAACAGTCAAAAACTACAGTTGTCCTTGAATGTTTTTTTTTTGCGGATTGAAATTCTCTATTTAAGTTCAAGTTCAGTTTATTTATATAGCGCCAAGTCACAACATATGTTTTCTCAGGGCACTGTACATAAAAAGAARAATCTAAAGAAGAAACCAGCAGGCTGCTGTTCACATGACTGATTTTCATTGTCTGTAAAAAAAATAATAATAATAAGAACATAAAATTTTAAAAAAACGTACATTTGTTGCAGTGGCTAGCTCAGGATTACAGTAGACTGATGTGGCTTTCAACAAATACTGTGAGCCATAGTCATAGTTTTACCCAAAAAGGTGTAGGAACCCTGTTTAAAAGCTGGGCTAAGGAAGGAACCAGTGACACTTTATGTCCAGCCAAGGCTTATTGATGCTGTGGACAGCCGAGCATTGTGTCTTCAATAAAGAGCATGGTTCTGTAAGTTTAGGCAGACCCAACTAAAAGTATTGTGCTTCGTCAAGGTGGTGGCTCCAACCATCAGCTCTCCAGTTTGCCAGGAGCAGCTGATAGAAGCAGGCAAGTTGGTGGCCAAGTCGGTGGAGGGGTGTGTGGAGTCCTCGCAGAGCGCCACCAGCGACGAGGGCCTGCTGAAGCAGGTGGGCCAGGCTGCCTCAGGAGTCACTCAGGCCCTCAACGAGCTGCTTCAGCACATCAAACAGTACGCCAGCGGAGGACATCCCATTGGACGTCACGGAGAGGCGACCGACCGCATCCTGGATGTGACTGAGAATATTTTCAGCTCAATGGGAGACGCTGGTGAGTGAAAGCAGAACTCTCTCGCACCACATGGGTTTTTTGCTATTAAAGTTGTTCTGCTTTAATGTGTACACAAGTGCTATTTAAAGGTGGCTGCACCTCTGACCATATGTGCTTTCTCAGAGAAGCAGTTGTTCCCACATTGTTTGACTTAAAACATGTTATTTATACCAGCAATAGGACAAAAACAGGCTGTGCATTTTCTAAAAGCTCTCCCTCACCTTATCTGAACTTGGTAGTCACACAGTATTTAACTGTGCTTTGTCTCTTTTTGCCTGGCCATTGCCTTCCTACACAATTCCACTCGATTCTAATCTCCCTTCTCTGCTCTTTGTGCTTTCTCCCATTGACATGGATTTCTTCAGTAAAATTTCAAAGGGCCAATGAGTGAAAAGGAGGAGTTGTGTATGTTACGTCAGTTTTTCGGCACTGTTTTGGACATGTAGTCTGCCTGTAGTTTAGCAGTGGTAGAAGAGGACGTGACTGAAGCCATCAGTCCGTGTTGACAAGGCCTCCAAATTAAAATAAATTTGTCTCATAAAGCTTGCAGCACTCTTTTACAACCATCTCGTTCAGCTCAGTACTTCTTTTCCCTGTAGAGGATGGTTGTTTACGGTGCTCGCAATTTCCAGTTAGCTTCTTAGCTTAGCTTCCTTCACGGTCGAGCTGGCACACTGCCATCATGGATCACATATTGATCAGATGCTGCTGATCCATGACGTGATGTAAATGTAACATTTTCTATAGGTAAAATTAATCACTGTAATAAAATAACTCTGTTTTTGTCACTTTTATGGTGGATTTCATCAACTCTGTTACATTACAGAAGGGAAGATTCACCAAAGTGAAACACAAATCTGTGGATCTGTGTTTGATTACTCTGGCTGGCTTTCTCAAGGACCAGGATGTGACACAAACATCTGAATAAAGTAGTCAAACTGAGTTTTTAATAAACCAAAATACAGTTTTAAAGCAAATTAATTCAGATACAAAACTTTAAATTCAGTTTCAGTTTAGAGAATCAAACCAATGCATTCAATTTCAAATTATGCACATTCAGATTCAATCTGAGCAATTCAAATTCAATTCCTACTGGCACAAGATTTATCTCATAAGCAGATGACAAAAACTGAACATGTAACCTATAAGGGAAAGTTTTGTAGTAGGCTACATTGGTTAAAGTGTTTGGCCACAGTCTATTTAAAAAAAAAAAAAAAGAAATCAAAACTCAGATCTCACACTGCAATTTCCATGACACCAGTATGTCAAATTGTTCTTGTCTGATTTTGTTCTCCTGTTATAACAAACCATGGGAAAGTTTATATTTTAGAGATGTGATTGATAGAGAGAATCCTTGGCTATGGTGATCACAGCTGGTAAAAACAGGTAAAATATAGAATATATTAAATATATACATAACCTTTTTTATAGAACTTTTTATTTTTAAATGAAATGGAAATGCTAAACTAAGAGGGAAACACTGCCACCTGCTGGAGAATGCAAGGATTGACAACAATTGAAATGTATTTAATCATTACTTCTCACAATATTAAGACAATAAAAAATAAAACACTCTTTTATATAATAGCAGTAATAATGAATATTATGGTCCCACATAAGGAATTGTTATCACCTTGAATTATTTTTAAATTATTTTAAAGTATTTTCTGAAGAGAAATATATATATATATGTATATATATATTTCTCTTTTTCTTTTTCTTCTTTACTACAGTAAAAATAAAAATAAAAGTCACATATGATGCAGAAATTAAGAAACTAACTTTCAATTATGTTTTCTACCAAAATGGCTAAAAAAAGGTATTTTCTGTCAACAATTTACCTTTTTTCCCTGTTTCAGGTGAGATGGTTCGTCAGGCTCGCATCCTGGCCCAGGCCACGTCTGATCTGGTTAACGCCATCAAAATGGATGCAGAGGGAGAATCCGACCTGGAGAACTCCCGGAAGCTTCTTTCTGCTGCCAAACTGCTGGCTGATGCCACTGCCAAAATGGTGGAGGCTGCTAAGGTCTGCCACCTCATCTTTACCTGCTAAACATAATTATTTAATTCAGTTTGCCGCCTGCTTTTACTGAAAAGGACCCGTGTTTCTGCAGGGCGCTGCTGCAAACCCTGACAGCGAGGAGCAACAGCAAAGGCTGCGTGAGGCCGCTGAAGGCCTCCGCATGGCCACCAACGCTGCCGCCCAGAACGCTATCAAGAAACGGCTTATCAACAAGCTGGAGGTAAAACAAAAATAAAGAAAAGGAAAGTTTATACAGTCCAAACGAGCGCTGATTTAAATTTGTTTTGTTTTGAGAGGTAGAAGTCATCTACAGCAGGGCTGTATAACGTGCAGCTCTTTGGTCCCTCACCAGCAGCCCTTTGAATATTTGACCAAAACTAACATGAGATTACAGTTTTTGTTTTTTATACTCAGAACAGAAATAACCAATTTAAAGGCTCTGTCACACTATAATATTTTAGATAACTTATGACAACTTATGAAAAGTTTGTGCAACACTAAAGCTGAAGATGAAATTTTTCCTGGAAGCCTTATATACTGTATACAAACTGTAATGCCAAGAGTTAGATCGAATATGTAGCCAATATACGGTAAGTAAAATATTCATACATTTTTTTTCACAAGTTGACAGAAGTTATCTAAAACCTTTTAGTGTGACAGGACCTTTAGCAGTTTCCCTGTCAATTTGTCTGCAAATATGTGATCATCAATACAAAGAGTGAAACATGTTGCTTAGATCAGGGGTTCGCAAGCCATTTGGGTCTGGGGACCCCTTTACAAGGGCAAAAAAAAAATATTCCAGGGACCACCTCATAAACCCAGTGCTTTTTTAAAAGACAATTTATTGTCATTTCAACCCCTAAATGGCGTGGGAATATGTATATACACTCACCGGCCACTTTATTAGGTACACCACGCTAGTAACGGGTTGGACCCCC